GGTGAAGTTTCAGTAGACAGAAAAGTGGGAAAAATATTTTCAGGAACTTAAGCAGAGATTAGTTTCGGCTCCTGTATTGACAATACTTGAAGGTTCGAATGGGTTTGTAATTTATAGCGACACCTCCAAGCATGGTTTGAGCTATGTACTGATGTAACATGGAAATGTGATTTTTTATGCCTCGAGACATTTGAAACGGTATGAACAGAATTATCCTATACACGACTTGAAACTTGCTGCGGTAGTTCGCTTTAAAAATATGGCGTCACTATCTGTATGGAGGGAAGTGTAAAATCTATACGGACCACAAGAGTTTCAAATACATCTTCACACAGAAGAAATTGAATATGAGACATATGAGATGGTTGGAGTTAGTAAAATATTACAACTGTAAAATTCTTTACTATCCGGGTAAGGTTATTGTAGGCGTAGATGCCTTAAGTAGGAAGACATGATCGCAAGTAGTAGTTTTACCCACGGTGTAGAAACACTTATAAATGACTTTGTGAGATTGAGATTGGAAGTCATCACACTGCCAACTTGGGCTACAACAATAATAAAAGAATTTATGATTTAACATACTCTTCGAGATCGAATCAAGGAAGCACATGATAATGATCCATTCCTACAAAAAATTAAGGCTGGTGTTGGTTCAAACAAACGTATAGGGTTTGAAGTATCTACAAATAAAACTCTGACTTTTAGAGGAAGGTTGTGTGTACCTCAAGATGAAAGTATAAGAAACGAGAAATTGGAAGAGTTTCATTCCATCCCATATGCTGCACATCCTGACAGTACAAAAATGTATCGAGGTCTCCGAGATACATTTTGGTGGAGATTTGGTGGAGAAACATGAAGAGAGGAATTGGTCTGTTCGTAGAGAAATGTATTGTCTGTCAGCAGGTCAAGGCAGAACATCAAAGGCTATCAGGACTGATGAAACATTTGGATATTCCAGAATGGAAATAGGAATACATAGCGATGGACTTTGTGATGGGCTTTCCGAGATCAACAAGAGATCACAATGCTATTTGGGTAGTGGTTGATCGTTTGACGAAGTTTGCCCATTTTCTGCCAAGTAAAGTAAATTTTAGTATGGAACAGCTCGTACAGTTATATATAAGAGAGAGATATTGCATGGAGTTCCAGTCACCATTATTTCAAATAAAGACTCGAGGTTCACATCGAAATTTTGGAAAAGCTTACGAGGAGCCATGGGGACGAAATTGAAATTTAGCATTGCTTATCATCCATAGACGGATGGACAATCGAAAAGAACCATTCAAACTCTTGAAGATATGATGAGAGCTTGTGTTTTTTAGATCTTGATGATAGTTGGGAAACACATATACCGTTAGTCGAGTTTGCTTACAACAATAGCTTTCAGGCCACAGGCATGGCCCCATATGAAGCTCTTTATGGCAGGAATATAATTTTGGGTCCTAAAATTATTGAACGAACAGTTGAGGCAGTTGATAAGGTTAGAGTAAGAATAAAGACAACAGAAAACTAACAGAAAAATTATGCTGATAGAAGAATAAAGGATTTAAAATTTCAAGTGGGTGACAAGGTTTTTCTAAAAATAGCACAAATGAAGGTCGTATTAAGATTTGGTAAGAAGAGGAAGTTGAGACCACGGTTCATTGGACCTTTCGAAATTCTTGAAAGGATTGGTGTGGTGGCTTATCGACTTGTCTTACCACCTAAACTCCTAGCAGTGCATAACGTGTTCCATGTTTCAATGCTCAGAAAATATATTCATGATCCTAGTCATGTGATGGGTTATCAGACATTGGAGGTACGAAAAGACTAGTCATATGAAGAAGTCCTAGCGATGATTTTGGATAGATATGTGCACCAATTAAAAAATAGAGTGGTTCCACTGGTCAACGTCTAATGGCGAAATCATGGACTTGATGAGTCAACTTTGGAGAATGAAGATGAGCTTAAAACCAATTATCCAGAACGTTTCGATTAGCCAAGGTAATTTTCGAAGACGAAAATATTTAAATAGGGGAGATTGTAAAGTCCCGCAAATTTTCATACAATATAATCAACTATTCTATATGCTATATTTTTAATATTTTGGAAAGTTAGGGACTAAAATGTATATATATTAAATTTCATTTTTATGTGTCAAATATTTAGATATTGATGGAGCAATGATAAGTATATGAACATTGAGCACGTTGGATAGATCATAATTAATCATGCATATTAAGTTCGAGAAAAAGTTAATTCGGATAAACGAGATCCAAGTTATCGAGGTTGAAAGATATTGTTTTAAATTGTTATTTGATGAAGTTAATCAATGAGTTATAATACAAGAGTGACGTGTGTAGATCAAGTTTGATGGTAAGTTATTAATTGATTTTTATTAAATAAGGATTTTGTACATAAAAAAAAAGGTTATGGGGCAGCCACGTGTGTCAATTAGTTTTATTTTAATATTATTTATTTGCTTTGATTTTAGGAATTGATAAGAGTTGTCAATTAGTTTGATTTTAATATCATTTATTTGGCATGTGTAGATTGAATATGAAAGGGAGTGATTGTTGATTTATGGAATACCGAGATTGAGAATTTTTAGGGGAAAAACACAGTATTCGTAGATTTTTAGGCCTAACAAAACTCAATTTTCCTTTTCAACTTTAAATACCATGTAAAAATACTCATTATCTACCTTAAAGAAAAAAAGAAAAAGAAAAAGAAAAGAAAGGAAAAGAAAGAAAACATAAATCCGTGATACGTCGCAACAACACTATAAGTAGAAGATAAAGATTTGGAATGTAATTTTGGTTTTGATTTTCATATTTATTTGATTTAACGAGGTAGTATAATGAGGTGCAGTTGATTTTTATCCCGTTTAAATTATTTTTTCGTGTTGATGAATTTTCATACTTATGAAAGTTAAAGATATGATATGATATGTATAATATGGTCATCCGATACCAAAGATATGATATGTGTTGAGCTCTTATCGATTTTTAAAGATATGATGACGATATGATATTTTGACACGTGTTTTAAATCTTTCATTCGGGATTACACCATTAATTGGTGTCATATTGTGTATTCATATATATTCACCCTTTTCCACTACTCCTCACAAGTTAGAACGGGTCGTTGGTTGCGGGCGATAAGGTGTAGTCGTGGTGCCACGATTTATGGAACTCAATAAAAATAATCTAGTGTAACGTGATTATGGATTTTATTTTCAGCATTATTTTAGTTTTATTATTATGTAAATTTTGTTTTATGGAATTTAGAACATATTTTATTGGTTATGTTTTATTTAATATTGGTGGAACCATAAAAAAAAATTCATGCTATGATGTTTGATACATTTATTTTAATTACAGAATGAAACTTTAAGTAACGATTTAAATATTAAAAAAATTGGGTCGTTACAATGGGCACCTTCTTTTAATTAAATTGAGAACTAATTCTTGGATTGGACAATTGAATGAAGAAAAAAATATTTATTTTCTCTCTTTCCAAATTTGAACATATAGAATTATGCATTATGATTGTTATTGAATCTTTAAGTCTATCTAGTCTCTATTTATAAAGATAAAGATGTTCTAATCCATATAGAATAATAATTCCAATTCCAAATATGAGTCTTAATTAAAATCCAAATAAGAGTTTTAATTAAAATCCAAAACTATTATAATTACAATTAAGCTTGTGTTTGACACCCATTTTGGGGGAAAAATGAATTCTGGAATATTGATTGATGGAAAAATGTGTGATGGAAAAGTAATGAAAATTTTTAAATTTGTGTGTAATATTATTTTATTTGAAAAATGTATAGTTGAAATGAAGAAAGAGAAAAAAATGAGAATGAGAATGAGTGTCAAATAGGACCTAAGGTCGAAACTATTATAATTACCATAATTAAGTTCCAATACTTTATAGAATTACCACAGGGACCTGATCAGACGTATATTATCTAAACTCTAATAATTAGATCCTATCTAGTCGACCCTAGACTCCCAATCTAATTATTAGTTTTTTAATTTTTCACTCAAGACAAAAGACCGAACTCTTAGAATATACAAGATCACGGAAGCCAATAAATCTGTAACTCTTTCCTCTAATTTGTCGTATATATATTTTATTCACGTCCGAGATCCGATAATTAGGTACGAGCATAAATAACTGTTTTGCCCTTCTAATTATTCTCAATAACTTAAGTATTGTTTTCTTCAAAAGTCAACTAATCATAGATGTCGAAATTTAGTTGTTGCTAAATATTGAGCTCGAATTTTAACCGTTCGAATGAAAATATTTAAGTAGTCATTCTACCCATTTTTAAAGGCGATGGTTCTAACCACGAATTCATGTTCTCCACTTCACTCATTCTCAAGTTCCCAACTCATCGAAATATTTGACCAATCAAATTAATATCACCTATTGGTGAATCAAAAAACCATTAAAATAACGAAAAAATATACATAACTCTATCAATGAATTTAGGTGAAATACACAACGATCAATTGAAATTAATTCTCTGCATGATCATGCTATAGAATTAAACTGACGGGTGGTGCGTTCAATACACTCCAAGTGTACTGGTGCCACGTTTAATTATTTTTGTGATAAGAACAAATCACAGACCCAAATAGTTAATTGGTCAACACTACATCCTTCTAGTACAAAGTGTCAACTCTTATACCTTGATTATGAACAAATTATTTATAATCAAAATATAAATTGTGTCACACTGTATTTCTCAACGTATGTACCCAACTTATATTATCACTAGTGATTATAGATACTTTAATTAAGCATGCTCAATAATAAATAAATACAATAAATGAAATAAAAGCAAATTTATTTAATATAATAATATTGTTATTTTTATATAAGCAAAACTATACTATATGTGCACATATCCCAATAGTTTCACCTATGGTGTATGTGTTGACGAAGATGGGCTATGTGTTTCGTTCCACATGAAATTTGGCATCCAGATGGACTTTGTGACACACTACCTCTATTCATTTCATTTTCACGATATTGAAGAGTAGCAATAGCATTGTCTCGTTCCATTATGGCATTATCACGTTCCACTATTGCAGAATCTCGCTGTAGGATCGCTACATCTTGCTTGGCTAGAGCAACCTTCTTTTGAGAAAGGGCCAAATTTCTTTCTTGGATTGTAGCATCCATTTTAGCCATAATAGCCACTAGTTTTCATTTTATAATAATTTTAGGGAAAGCTAAAATATTTTAACCACAAAAAGAAGATATCAAAAGAAATACACTCAATTCTTTATGTTGACCCTAAAAAATCAATCAACAGATATCGAGCCCACTCACGCCAAGACAAGTACGGTTTCGGCACGTTCCTACCGGAATGATGATGGTAGCAATGAAGAAAGGGACGCGGTAGATACTTTGTTGTGGCGAGAGACAAGATTGTTCGAGCTTCGACGGGTAGAATGGAAGCAATCGCACTAGCCACAATTACCGAATTGAAACCAAAACTAATCTATGTAATCATGGAGCAAAATATGTCGAGGGATAGACAAAATGTTAATAGTCTTTCTTTTGAGAGTTCAAGTGTATTTTTGTACATAGCATTGTCCATGTCTCTATTTCCCATCCTTTTTTCATTACAAAGAAAACCTATTTATATTGACTTGACCGACGTGGTAACCGTTAGATCGGATCCGCGTGGACTCATCTCTCTAACTAAGGCTTTATATCACTGTCTACTCATACAATTAATACATTGATAAGAGGTCAGCAGCCTTATACAATAAGCTGACACACTGACAATTTTATTATAAGCGTCACATCAATCACTTCAGAGATCCTCAAATCTTTTACAAAGAAACAACGTCGGTTTGTGAGTCTCGGATGCACTGAGTGTCTCGTAGAGATCCAAGACGGTTCTCAAGTGGAGGACGTTAGCTTCTTTCCCAACTTTAGTCATCTAGTGTGAGGACTTTAGACACTATGTAAGGTCCTCGACCTTTTGACTTTTTTCGGTTGTTTGACCTATTGGGTCTTCTTTTAACTTTCCTGTTAACTACCTGCCACGTGTCGTACCACGTGGTCTCGTTTCACTTGGCCTTGGAATCAAAGGGTAACAACAATTCCCTAAGTCTATGTATGATTATTTATGTAATGCATGAACTTATTCAATTGATTTGGAGGTCTAATGTGAGTGATTTCCGAGGTAGTTGACTCGATAATACGTCATCTTAGGCACGATGTTGAGGAAGTCCACTGAAATAGGTGTATCCAAGGTGCCTTCACATAACTGACGTACCTGTACTGAATCGAAGCTCCTCCACGTAAGAGAGGTTGTAGAAGAGTTGTCGAAGTACACGGGCGAACGAGTGAGCCTGTTATCCTAGGCAGGGATGCATCGCCATAAGTGAGTACCTACTGAAGGCAGGACTCCATTTACCGATCCATCACTTCTTCCAGGCAGTCCTTAGGTTATATGGGATGGCTCCTACCCAACTTGTACCCAACGCCTGGGCCCAACTAGTGGGCTCCTAATTCTTTTGGAAGGAGGCATCTCTAGGCGAGGATATGCCTCTGCATGTATTCTAAATAGTCTACCAACCCAGATCTTTAGGAAAAAGGGATTCCAGGGAGTGGTATTCATCGTGTCCTTGGGAGTCACACTCTCCCTTCGTAGTAGGTCTACCTACCTCTATCAAGGGGTGGAAGGAGACTTGTTTCTAGGTGAGAGAGATGTGGCAAGAGTGTGAGGGTGACCTTGTTCTCTGCGTCAAAGTCCCAACTTCGTATTCCGATGCTCATGAGTGCATTCCGTATGTTTATCATTTCTGAACTGATGAAGTCTGATACTTACTATTTTTTGTTATTACACTGGGTCGGTCGAGCTGTTCAAGTTCACAGAGTGTGACTGGGACACTCTGTTTGAAATTTACAAGAAATCATCATCCGCCCGTGAATTCGGATGTTTAGTCCAGTTGACCTTCTTTTTCGAGGACTTCAGATTAATGGCAAGGAGAGGTAAAATATACATACACACTTTGGTGACGTTATATGTCTTAGTCGCCTGTGCATGTTTCTTGACGTGGTCTATCTCTTGATTTGTAGAGAACTTTAACAAGAGGAAGCCCCTATCCTAGACATGGCCACCATTCTTGCTACCACGTCTACTTCTGGGCGAGGGATGAGGCCCTCATGTACTAGAGAAAAGTAGGTGAGGGACAAAATCGAGAGGGTCAGCAAGGAGCCTAACTCTCAAGAAGAAGGTCGACTTCCCAAGGATAAGGGGAAAAAGGTCATGGATGAAGAACCAAAGAAGAGGTTCAGGATTCTGACCCCCAATGGGGCGGGTGGCTCGAATGACGTCCCTCCTCCCGCTTTGAGGTCCCGGTAGGAGAAAAACTATTGGGCAGGTCAATTACTGCGGTCTCTAGGGGGCAAAAAAGACCAACCACTGTGGATCCCCCAGAGGCAGGAACCTGTCAAGAAGGTCAGAGCTTCAAGTGACTCCACCACCTCTGAAGCTTCTAAATCGAAGCCTGGACTAGCTTCTCGAACTGACAACTTGAGGCCGAGGCCCTAGCCCTTCTTCCTCCAGAAGTCCAAATTGCAACAACCACATTCCATAAGTACTGGACGAAAAAGTGGCAGTCGCACGTCGAGAAGAATGTTGCCGTCGACATCTTCACTACGATGGTTGCCCAGGTGGGGTAGTCGTTCGGCATGGCTATAGAGGCTGAAGCCTTCTTTAAAAATCTTCATAGCAAAAATTGTGGGTTTGCCAATAAGGCTTCCCAGGCCCAGGAAGCTACTGCTAAGGCCAAGGCTGAGGTGGAGGCTGTAAAAAAGAAGTATGGTGAGGAAACAATGAAGCTTGCTTCTGCCATGGCAGAAATTGATACTTTGAAGAAGGAGGTTCATCTTTCTCATAGCAAGGTGGCTTCTTTGACGAAGTGAGTGGAGATTTCTGATGCCTACCAAAAGTTAGCAGCTGAGGCCCTAGAAAAGGCAAATAAAGAGAACATCGACCTAAATGGGAAAATGGGGGAATTGAACTCTCAAGTTGCTGGCCTCATCGAAGAGGTGGAGACTGTTCGGAGTGACGCGGAGCTTGCCAGCAAGAACGTTGAAAAGACCTTCCTAGCCAACTTCCATCTGACCGAGGCGTATAAAAGTTTCGAGAAGTACTGGAGGAGGTACGCTTATACAGATATGAGTGAAAATCTAGAGGCGAACACTCAGGGCGTCGACACTTCTGAATTGAGGGCAGAGTTTCTTGAGGATGAGGTGGAGGAGTTCAAACCTTAAACTCCTGCTGAGGGGGCTCAAGTGATTGATCTTGATGGTGACGCAGCCGAAGAGGTGGCTAAGGAAATAGCCACTGACACAATCATACCTTTCGTGGCTCCTCAACCCCCACCCCCTTAGAGCTTCTTGTAATCCTTTCCATTATTTGTTCAAGTATAATGGCTTTGACCCATCATATGTAAATATTTCCTTATGAATGAACTGCTTTGATTTCAATGCTCGTGCATTTTTACTTATTCAATTGTTAAATCTGTCTATTGTGATCTTATCAATGTTATCAACTTAAACTTAAAGCAACATCAATTTAATAATAACATCAGACATATAACATCTTTAAAAGCTTGACAACATAGGAAATAGTTAAAATGGTTAGATTTGATGCAAAACGAACCTTAACAACATGATTGAACTCCCAGAACTTTACAAGTGTTAGTAGGTCTTATACTTCAACAAAGTTTTAGGATTCAACCATGTTAGCTTATCATAAGTAAGTTTGACTGAAGCCCTCTCAACTGCTTCGGAACTTATTTAGCATGTGGGATCTAATATTCAAGGGTCAAGTACCTCCGCAAGTTCTTACATGTGCAAACCGATGTTTCGTGAACTGAGACTCTTTAGCACTTCAAGCTTCATTTCGTTCGTTTGTGTCGAGATTCTTTTAACAACATTTACTTGATGTAGATATGTATTTTGTCTCATGAATGAGGGTGTGGTCCATTTCATCTTCATGACTTAACATAACAAGAGTTTTTATTAAATTTTGAACTTATAAGTACAAGATATCTTACATCATTGGTAATACTTGCGTAAGTGCTCCACATTCCAAGGATGAGGTTATGCCTTTCCATCAATGTCCTTGATTCTGTAGGTCCCATGTTGATCTTCCTTGCTGGTGTAGTAAGGACCTTCCCGGTTAGGGCCAAGGATTTCTGACCCATGCTGTTTTAAATTGGGGAACACCCTTCGTAATATTAGTTCTTTCACACGAAATGATTTTTTCTTTACCTTCGAATTGTAATATCTAGTCATTTTCCTTTGGTACATGGTCAGCTTGATTTGAGAATCGTCCCTCCTCTCTTCGAGGAGGTCCAGCCCACACCTTCTCATCTCTTCGTTGTTTATCTCGTTGAAGTGTATTTATCTGGGAGATGGAAGACCTACTTCGACATGACTCATAGCCTCAGCCCCATAGGCCTTAAGAATGGGTTTTTCCAGTGGCTATCCGGCTTGTTGTCCTGATTGCCCAAAGTACCTGGGGAAGTTCCTCAACCTATACTCCTTTGGAAACATCTAGCTTCCTCTTCAAGGTGAATTTAATCGTCTTGTTACCTGCCCGTTAGCTTGAGGGTGATGTGGGGAGGAAAAATATTTCTTGATGCCCAACTCCTCACACATATTCCTAACCATCTTAGACAAATTGCCTACCATTGTCTCACACGATGGAATGAGGAATCTCAAACCTGTAAATGATATTCTTCCACAGGAACTTGGAAGTACTGGCCTCAGTTATCTTGGCAAGTGGTTCAACCTCTACCCATTTTGTGAAATAATCAATGGCAACAATTGCGAAGCTGGAACTTCCTCTCCCCTTGGGAAGAGGCCCATTTAGATCAATTCTCCATTTTGCAAATGGCCAGGGACAGGATACTACACTTGTATAGTGGCAAACTGTTGGCATTTGTCACATTTTCTAACGAATTGCTGCGTATCCTTTTTTAAGGTAGGCCAGTAATATCCTTACCTAAGTACTTTCTGTGCTAGGGACCAGCCTCCTGCATGGTTGCCACAAACACTTTCATGGATTTTCCCGAGTACATAGTTTGCTTGTTCTCCTCCAACGCACCTTAGTAAGGGTAGTGAAAATCCACATTTGTATAGTACCTCGT